TAAACCCGAAGCCCTAAACTCTAAAAGCCGTATTATGAAGATAGAGGTACGTCACGACCTAGCCCAGCACCCTCTTCCAGATCACGGCCCCTACATGACAGCTTTGGGAACCCTAAGCTCTCGCAGCAACGCGGCAAACCCAAAGCCTTCAACCAAAGCCCAAGTCCAAGCACTATAGGGGCCTTTTAATAATTACCCACACTATTTTTGGGGGTTCCTTATTATAGATATGGTACAATGGGCCCCCAAAACCCTATTCTACTTATTAAGGCCACTATAGTATGAAGCTCTAGGCATGAAGCCACCTGGAAGGCCATCTACGACAAAAACACACATAGGGACCCCCTAAAAGAATACGATTGATGAACAAAATCCTGCATTACCCATAATTAGGAATATTCCAGAATTCCCATAGTTTACAGTTCAGGGTCCTTAAGGTAATGCAGGGTTTATATCATCAACAGTAGTATTGTACATTACTTATTTAGGCTCCTACAGTAGGAGGTGCCCTAACATTCCCCGAGGGGCCGAAGTAGCCGTAAAATATGGAAGCCTGAACATGTGCGAACTTTGTTCCGTCGGGCCCCATGTTGAGTATAACATATTTTGAAACCCTACTCTGTTTCAGTTAACCCTTAACCCTGAACCCTAAACCCTAAACCCTAAGCCCTAAACCCTATAACATATCCTGAAACCCGACTCTGCTTCGTAAGGCCTTTCTTTGGGATAGCTTTCCCAGAACAGGGACCACCAGGAGCAATCCTCAGCTCAGCAGCCTGGAAAGCCCGAGATCCTCACTTAGGGAATCTACGGGGTTGGGGTTTCGGGTTTAGGGTCTCGGGTTTGGGGTTTAGGGGTTTAGGGTTTAGGGTTTAGTAGCTAGGATGATTGTGGGCAAATTCTTCAATGAAGAGGTATCGGGCTCTCTGGGAAGCCTGAAGCTAAACCTGAGCCACTGAACTCGAAGAAGAAGCTAGATGACAGCCACGTTAAACGAAGCACAACCATCCAAGGACCTTTTTGAACACAGAGTTTTTGTGTGACATGCATACTTGGAGGATCATGGCACGTAGTAAGTAAGGTTATAAGCCCCCTAATTGGGTTTATAAGAATAGTTACCTTAGTTGTAACCCTACTTGCTAAGAGTACATGCATGTCTATGCAAGGCCACAATTGAACTCTGTAGGACTTCTTCCTATCTCTCAGGGTCCAAGTACCTTAATTAATAGTCATATACTCTTCTGAAAACCTAACCTACAAAACTACTATTCGTAGCCCAAGTACAAGATTATTAGGTCCTTTGGACCCTAAACCCTAAACCCCTAAACCCTAAACCCTAAACCCTATTGGACAATTTGGAGCCCTGACGTATCGAAGGAGGCTCCTCTGGACATGGATGAGGACTGGCGATGGCAGCCCTAACCTCTAAGACCGACGCCCTAGCCCCAAACCCTATACGTCAGACCCTAAACCCTAAACTCTAAAAGGGTTTAGGGGTTTAGGGGTTCAGGGGTTAGGGGTTCAGGGGTTTAGGGGTTAGGGGTTTAGGGTTTAGGGTTTAGGGGTTTAGGGGTGTAGGGATTTAGGGTTTAGCGGTTCCCCAATCCCCTGACCGCAAACATCCCAGTTGAAGGAGTCTTAGGGGATTCTATGGGTTCGAGTTTTTGGGCTTAGGGTTTAGGGTTTAGGGTTTAGGGCTTTCGGGGGGTCCTTAGGGTTGCAGGGTCAGGGTAATGAAGTTCTGTAAGGGCTTAGAGGATTGAGAAGGAGGTTCTGGCTGGGGATGAGTTGTATACTTTGCGTCCTTCTTGCTCGGATTCTTCCAGGGTTTTATTGGGGTCTACAAGAGCAGAAAAACGCTTTGGTGGTAGAGACTAAACCTTAAGCCCTAAAAACCCTAAACCCTGCACCCCTAGAGCTTCGTAGGGTTTAGAGTCCGGGATGGAGGGTGCAGGGTCTAGAGTCTATGGCTCATTCAAGAGGTCCAGGCACCAGATAAAACTGCTGTTGTGACTCTTTGGTCTTTCTTCTGTAGGTCTTTAGGCTTTAGGGTTCAGGGTTAAGGCTTTATCGCGGTCTCCTTACAGGCTATTTAGAATGGTTTGTTGGGTTTAGAGGCTTGGTCCGGGTCCTACAAGTTTGGATTTTCCGGTAGTCTCTGGAAAGTGTGCTGGCCGAGAGTGATAATGATAGGGGTTTAGGGTTTAGGGTTTAGGCTTTAGGGTTTGGGTTTAGGGTTTAGGGTTTAGAGTTTAGAGTTTAGGTTTAGGGTTTAGGGTTTAGGGTTTAGGGTTTAGGGTTTAGAGTTTAGGGTTTAGGGTTTAGGGTTTAGGGTTCCGGGCCGACCTCCCCTATCGACGGCTTGGATCACGACCTGCTCGTAGCAGCCACACGAGATTGAACGTCGCGACTTCAGGGACCACAATGCCCGGAGGGGCGAGGACTGGCGTATTCTGCGATGGGGCCGAATTCGGTGGGAATGGTCAACTGGAACATCCTTGTTCCTTATGCCCCAAAAAGTTTTTCAAAGGTGAGAATGGTAAACTTGGAACATCCTTGTTCCTTATGCTCCAAAAAGTATATTGAAGGGAATGCCAGCTCTAGTCATCCTTCACGACGCGGTTTACCGCAGTGACACACCCGGCCCATGGCTCCGTCCGCCCCGCCCCGCGCGGGACCTACCCACCGTCCTCCGCCGGACGCGGCAGCCCGGCCGGCCCACGCTTTGGGATTTAGGGTTTGGGGTTTAGGGTTTAGGCTTTAGGGTTTAGGGTTTAGGGTTTGGGTTTTAAGTTCTAGTGGGTGCTGTCATGAAAGCAGAGAATGTATTCTGTAGCTAAGACCATTTCTGCTCCCAAAACCCCAAACCCCAAACCCTAAACCGTAAACCCTAAACCCTAAACCCGGATCCGTAAACCCTAAACCCTAAGCCCTAAAACCTAGACCCAAGAACCACCGCCTTGAACCAAAGTGTCTTCCGGAACTGAACCCACGAGACCTTATAAGAACCCTAGAAGCTCAAGCAAAGGACCGCGCCAGACCCCTAAGCGTGATCTTTAGGGCCTTAGGGTGTAGGGTTTAGGGTTTAGGGTTTTGGGTTTTGGGTTTAGGGTAAACCCGAAACCGAAACGAGAAAACCGAAGCCCTGAACCCTGAAGTCCAAACCCCAAGCCCGTGCAGAAGCTGCAAGAAGAAAGGAGCCTGTATAGAGCCCTGTAAACCCTAGACCCTAGACCCTAAACCCTAAACCCTAAACCCTCAACCCTAAACCCTAAACCCTAGACCCTAGACCCTACACCCTAAACCGTCTTACTATCAGCGCTTCAGGCTTTAGAGGTTTAGGTCTGGGTAAACCCAAAACCCAAAACCCCCAAAACCCCCGAACCCTTAAAGACAACCCTACAGAAACCCTTGAGCAGTAGAAGGGGTTAGGGTTTAGGGTTATAGGGCTATAGGGTTATAGGGTCATAGGGTCATAGGGTTATAGGATTATAGGGTTTAGGGTTTAGGGTTTAGGGTTTAGGGTTTGGGGTTTAGGGTTTAGGGTTTCGGGTTTAGAGCAGCAAGAAATCCTATGTAGACCTCACACGCTCAACATGAGACGAGCCCGTAAAACGAACCCCTAAAACTTACATGAACCCTAAACCCTACACCCCAACCCCTAGAGCCCTACACCCTAAACCCTAAACCGCCGAGCCCGAAAAGGAACCCTAAACCCTTGACCCTAGAACCCTAAGAAAAAGGACCCCTGTGGATCCCTTTTCAGGAAACCCCTTAAAAACCTTACTGTAAGGGTTTCGGGATGTAGGGCAGTATGGCAAAAGGACCCCGAAACCCTAAACCCTAAACCCTACACCCTAAGCCCTAAACCCTAGACCCTAAACCCTAAACCCTAAACCATAAACCTTAAAACCCCACACCCTAGGACCTTTTAAAAGAAACAAGGATCCCGTGATCTTCCGGCAAGTGCGGGTGGACCGATCTCACTTGGGTCAGCTCACACAGAAGGCGATGTTGTTTCGGGTTTAGGGTTCGGGCTGTAGGGGGTTTTCGATTTAGGGTTTTGGGGTTTAGGTTTTTAGGGTTTGGGGTTGTTGACTTAAGGGGTTTGGGGGTTTGGGGTATTAATTGGGTTGTGAGTTTAGGGTTTCAGGTTTAGCGCTTCGGGTTGTTGGGGCTGAAAGTTTGGTGTTCAGGGTTCAGCGGTTTTACTCCCCTTCTCGGGAATTCTTTAAGCTTTCTATGGAAGGTTTTCTTTACAAGTCCTATGAAACGTCTACACATAAGAATTTCAATAAGGGTTTTATATTATATAGGGGTTCTTTAAGTTTGAAGGATATTGTGTGTGTGTGTGTGCGTGCGTCTGTGTGTGTGTGTGTATGTTCGTGGGTTGTTTTAGAGTGCTCAGATCAGAAGGCACTTGAGTAGTTGGGATGTAGTGTTTCAGGCTTTAGGGTTTGGGGTTTAGTATGTCGGGTTTGGGGAATCAGGGAAATCATATTTAGAAAAAGTCGGGCTCACACCAATACGGTGCTGTTAAGACCAAGACTGTAGCGGTCTGTGCAGGATGCAACATGCTGTGACGGATGCTAAGGGGGTTCCTTTCCATGGATGCCGTAGCAGCCCGGTTAAACCCTAAAAGATAAACCCTAAACCCTAAACCCGCCTAAAATCCGCCTAAACCCTAAACCCTAAGCCCCGCGCGTATGCAGATTCCGCGCGGAGACCGACTCGTTGGGCCAAAAGCCCTAAGTTTACATAAATCTTACGCCCCAAGCTACTTCACCCCGAGGCTCCATACCTTAAACCCCTAGCCCCTCAGCCCTAAACCCTAAACGCTTGCACCGGCGCTCGCCCCCACCACTGACTCCCCAAACTCCCGAAATCCTTGAGACACCCGAACCCTCGCAAAAAAACCCTTAAAACCCCTAGACCCCTAAGCCCTAAACCCTAAACCCCTAAACCCCTAAACCCCTAAACCCTAAACCCTTTCCTTTAAAGGGACGACCCCCGAAGACTTCAGGTGCGTGGTTGTCAAAATTATGGTCCCCTTTTGGGTCCTTCTTATAATACGGCACCTATTATCTAGGGTACCCCAAAAGGGACCCTAATTTTGACAACCACCCCTACTATAGTACCCTAAATACTAGGATCCCTAATGTAAGGACCCCACAATAAGGTACCCATTATTTCGGAAACTCCCACATGCCGAACACTTCAGGTGGATCGCCCTGGGATGGTTAGCTCTGGCCCTTTCCCTCATCGTCTGGTCCTTTGCGCTCGTGGCCATCGTGCCAGCCAAGGCCCCCACGGTCTTAGGGTCCCTTTTAGGGCTCCTAGGGTTCAGGGTTCAGGGTTTAGGGTTCCTAGGGTTCAGGGTTTAGGGCTTAGGGTTTAGGGTTTAGGGTTTAGGGTTTAGGGCTTTGGGTTTAGGGTTTAGGGTTTGCTTGGGGTTTATAAGGGTTTAGGGTTTAGGGTTTGGGGTTTAGGGCTTAGGGTTTAGGGTTTAGGGTTTAGGGAACGTAGACGCCTGAACACTTACCAATATTAGGAATTCGGAATAAGGGTTCCTCATCATCACTGTACTTGGAGGATCATGGGACCTCGCAAGTAAGGTTATAAGTCCTTCAATTGGGGTTATAAGTATAGTTACCTTAGTTATAACCCTACTGACTAAGCCCCATGATCCTGTAAGTACTATAAAGGAGCCCCAAAACCCCATTCTAATTATGAAGGCCCCTATAGTAAACTTCAGTTTAGGGTTGTTTGTTTGGTTTGGGTCAGGGCTCTAAGTATTTCGGTTTGGGATGTTTTGCCTTAGAGGCCAGAGTTTAGGGCTCAGGCTTCACGTTTAGGGTTTAGGGTTTAATGTTTAGGGTTTAAGTGTTCAGGGTTTCAATGTTTAGAGTTTCGGGTTTAATGTTTCGGGTTTAGGGTTTAATGTTTCGAGTTTAGGGTTTAGGGTTTTATTGTTTCGGGTTTAGGGTTTAATGTTTAAGGTTTAGGGTTCAGGGTTGTAATGTTTCGGGTTCAGGCTTGAGGGTTCAGGGCCCAAGCCCTCAAAAACAGATCCTTGACTGTAAAACCTACACCAAAATAACATGAAGCCTAGACCCCTCGCAGAACCCTACACTCTAAACCCCAAACCTGATACCGTAAAAGACCCTAGACCCTAAACCCCTAAGCCCTAAACCCTAAGCCCCTAAACCCTAAACCCTAAATCCTAAAATCCAGAGTCCTTCGCAGTGGCAGGAGAAAGACCGGCGCCTGCTGAAAGAGCCCTTGGCAGATCAGGCGATCCGTTGCGGTCTATAACCCGAAACCCTGAACCCTAAACCCGCAACCCTGAACCCTAAACCCTAAACCCTAAACCCTAAACCCTGAACCCTAAACCCTAAACCCTAAACCCTGAACCCTAAACTCTAGATCCTGAACCCTAGACCCTAAACCCTAAACCCTAAACCCTAAACCCTGAACCCTAAACCCTAAACCCTTAGAGGGTTCAGGGCGGGGTTTTTATGGCGATCCGACTTCCCGGGTGGCGGTTTCGGGTTTCGGGGTCTGTAGAGGTTCTACAGGGGCTCCACAAAGAGTTCCAGAAGGCTTCTATGACGGGTCCATAAAGGGTGCGAAGGGTTTAGGGTTTAGGGTTTAGGTTTTAGGGTGCTCTACAAGGAGTTATCTGAGGGTGGCGGGTTTTTGTTTAGAGTTTAGGTTTTAGAGTTTAGGGCCAGCGATTTACGTGCATTCGGAGCTCAGGGTTTAGGGTTTTGGGTGGAGGGGTGCTGTAGCCCCCGCAAGCAAGCCCACGCCGCATACCTTGCACCAAGAGCCCAACTTCGAGTTAGGGTTTCGGGTTTGGGGTTTGGGGTTTACCCTAAACCCTAAACCCTAAACCCTAAACCCTAAACCGTGACTTCGCACCTTTTGGTCGGCCTCTTGTTGAGCTGCAGGGCTTCTTCGCTGAGGTCAGAGGGTTCCCTAAACCCGACTTCCTGAACCCTACTTCTGAACCCTACTTCTGGTAAGGTTTAGGGTTTAGGGTTTAGGGTTAAGGAGCTTAGTTTTGAAGCCCTATCATGTTCCATAGATCAGATGTGGCAAAATACAGCAAATCCGCTAGCAAGAACCCAGACTTCCGCACACTCCTTCCTAATGCCCAGCTCCAGTGACAAAGTAAGAAACCCTAAGCCCTAAACCCTAAACCCTAAACCCTAAGCCCAAACCCTAAACCCTAGATCCTAAACCCCAAACCCCAAACCCTACCGAAACCCCAAACCCTCAACCCTAAACCCGAAACCAGAAACCCTAAACCCAAACCCAGGACCCTATACCCTAAACCCCAAACCCCACACCGCAGAAGCCCCACCTTGAAACTCGCAAGCCTCAACCCCTCTCCCCCGGCAACATTGAGCTGCCAAAAGCCCAAAAGTGTACGGTGTAGGGTTTAGGGTTTAGGGTTTAAGGTTGAGGGTTTAGGGTTTAGGGTTCAGGATTTTGGGTTGAAAGTTTAGGGTTGAGGGTTTGGGGTTTAGGGACCCTCCAACCTAAACCCGGACCTCATCCTAAACTCTGGACCCCACACGTTTTCAAGCAATCCCGAGACTCCAACACCTGAAGGGTTCAGGGTTTAGGGTTTGGGGTCTAGGGTTTAGGGTCTAGGGTATAGGGTTTTTGGTCTAGGGTTTAGGGTCTAGGGCTTAGGGTTTGAGGGTTTAGGGTTTAGGGTCTAGGGTTTAGGGTTTGGGGTCTAGGGTTTAGGGTTTAGGGTTTGGGGTTGAGGGCTTAGGGTTTAGGGCTTTACAGACATCCTTTGTATGACTTTCAGGTATCATTGACCCCAAGCCTTGAACCTTCAACCCTTAAAGCCCTAAACCCCTGTTTTAAGAAATCCACCAAGAAACTCCAGCCCAAAAGCTACCCTGAAACCTTGGATCCCGAACCGAAACCACCTGGGAACGCCTCATAAACCCTTCACAAGAACCTGCTCTAAACCCTAAACCCTAAACCCTAAACCCTAAACCCTAAACCCGAAACCCTAAACCCTAAACCCGAACCCTAAACCCGAAAC